AAGGGAAAAGAAGTTACCGTTATTTATAAAATTGCGTTAGCATTAAATTCAATTTTTTTTTATATCTTCATAAGGAAATTGTTTTTATGTAATATATTTCGTATAGACAACAAAAAACAAGGAGGGAGTAAAAAAATCTGTAGCTATTCCAGTAATGATAAGAACATATTTTAAGGTGCGTTGATAATAGATTGAGTAGATCGTTGGGGTTACATACTTCGCCCTGCGAAACCAATCTTGTAAATTTTCTCACAAACCACCTGGGATATTAATTATAGTACTTGTGATAAGCACTCGTTTGAATATTCTACATATTCAAACTTCAGTCTCCTTTGAAGCTTTCAAATGCCCTTATGTTTTACATCTATCCTACTCAGGTATCCTTTGATTTGATGATGTGATTTGTAATAATTCTCATCCACTACGTAAAGGTTCGATAAGATTGATATTTGCTGTTACTGGTCATATTAGCACAAAAATTTATTGGTCTCCATTTGACAGTTTCTGCAGTGCTCTGATCTATAATTCTGATCTTTTAGTAGCGAATTTCCGAAAAGGAATCATGTTTGCTCATCAGCTACTCGAACGTTGACAAGTGGCTCTCACAAATATCAAATTTATTTTATAAAGCTTTGTTTTCAATAAAGATTTTATAATTCAATTTGCTTTGTACAGGATTACAATACATTTCATTTCAGAATATTAAAATCAATGAGAAAGTAAAGTATACGTATGTATACCCATAAACAAAATTGCTTTCCTTATAGGGCTTTCTTTAGTCTTATAAATTGTTGGAGATGGAAAAGAAAATAATATCCCTTTGGCGTATAATGACGATTATCATAATTTTTCTCCTTTATTTTTCTCACGCCTTGTTTTTCTTCCTGTTTATTTTTTTAACACATTCAAGTGAGTATATATGTAGAGTACATAATGTTATTTTTATATTGTATATTATGCATTTGCATATGTATGTATATGTACATCTGAATTCAATAAATTCTTTTTATTGTCTAAAGAAATATCTTACAGCACATAGCGTAATATTCACGAAATTATTTAGGTATACCCATATTATGTATGTATTCATATACTCAAATGAAGGTATGTTTGTACCTATTTACGAGTATGTAGGTGTTACATGATATCGTTACAGTCAAAATATTCAAACGATATTCATAAGTAAAACTTATATTTTATGTAAATTTTTTGAAATTTTAAAGTTGTTTTGCCTTAAATCTTAAAATTTAATAAAAGCTATTGTAGCAATTTTAGAAACTTATATTTTGTTAGAAGCATCGAATTTTTTCACAAAATGAGCGTAAGATTTGTAAGAATTGAAATATTTAAGAAGTGCCTGTAAGTAACACATGCAAGTTTAAATGGATGTCTTCCTTCAAATTTAAATATTCAAATAATTTCGATAAAAGCTTTGGTATAAAGATTGTCATGTCGAAACCAATCATTTTGGTTGGGGTAAATTAAGATGCGGAAAAGAAAATAATTTAATATTGAAAATCTATGCAAATTTAAAGAAAAATTGACAAAAGAAATGAAATTCTTTATTAAAAATATTGAATTGGTTTGTAAAAACTTTCTTCTACTGAGAGTTTTTCAAATTTTTTCCAAAAATTGCTTTAAATCTTAGTTTTGATTTAGTTGGGTCTATTGCATTCTTAATGTTTAAATAACACAATAAAATTTGAGATTTGTCGGAATCATAAATGGCCTTAAAAACTTTCCGCTATTAGGAAACCAATATGTAAGTCAGAATTGAAAATAGATTGTTCTTTTGTTGTAGACTTCGTAGCACTAAAAATCAACCACATAGAAATTAACCTCATATTATTTAGAGTTAAATACTTCAAAGGAAATTTAATTGAAATTTATTTGATATTCCTCAGTAAACATATTAAATTTAATTTTTAATCCTTGAAGATTTGTAATTGACATTTCATGTAAAATAATATTTTAATGCACCTATATGCATTTATGCTAATGATTTATACGAGTACTAAATGTTTTATTATGCAATATTATAAAATCTTTGTTCAGTAAACTGTAATAACCTAAATATTGTGATGACAAAAATAAGGATATCACGATTTATTTATTTATTTATTTATTTGAATTGAAGTGGACGTTGACATGTGTGCACACAACTTTGTAATGCTAACCTAATTTTCTATTATGCTAATTTAAATGACATTATAATAAGAATAACAATTTGAAAAATAGAATATACATCTGGAATAGGTTTTCTAGTTATTTAATGTATTAATAATAATATGTAAGCATATTCTTTGTACAATATTATTGCTAAGAAGTAGTAGGTACACAAATAAGAGTTAAGAAATTGTTCACATTATTTTATATGTGCTGATTTTATTTTATGCTATTTAAATAATTTTCTCGTTCAATTTACATCAATTTAGAAAATAAAAAGATTTGATTTAAATAATATTCAAAGGGAATTTTCTTTTTAATTAAAAACACTTTTAAGTTTTGAGAGTCTTGCAGCAAGAACATAATATTGTAAATAGAAATTTGAGCTTTTAGAGAACATGATAAATTAGTGCTTAACAATTACATATTCAAAAATTTTTTAACATGAAAGATAAATAAAGTTGGGTCAAACGAATGGTTTGTATTGTAGCACTGTTCTCTTCAACAAGTAAAAATACTGCTTTTAAAAACAGTCTACTATACTATTAAAATCATTTACATTCATATCCGAAACTATTTCATTGAGGATTGCATACATTCAGGATTGCAGTCTTCGAAATAAAGCAAAATTTAATTTAACGAGGGGTTAACATAATACTCGATTTTAAGGGTTCATAGTGTGAGTTAAGAGAAATAATTATATTTTTAATGACATGGAATTTACCGTTACCTTTCTGCGTTTATAGAAATTTGAAAAAGCTTACAGTTTCGGAAATATAAGGTGTCAAAAATTCAAATTTTACAAATTTTGAGAGGCGATAACCTGAGAGGGAGTGGAAAAAAATTTCCTTCAAACGAAATGAACTACTTGTTTGTGTGTAATTTCAGAATTTTTAAGAAGCACGTTACTGCTCTTCTTAGTTTGCAAAATTTGAAAAATGCTTATAATTTCACTGTAATAAATAGTTAAAGAATGGCATTTTTAGGGTTTTTGTGGTGGTATAACTCTTAGAGAGGGGGAGATAGGTAAAAATTTCATTCTGCAGAAATAAGTTTCTAGTAAAGATCTATATGCACATAAAATTTCAGCTTTCTATCTTGAAGGATGTAGAAGTTTTATAAACATGTCCGCGGACGAACGTACGCACAATGCGAAACTAATAAGCACAATTTTTCAAAAATTTTTTGGAAAAGTGTTAATAACACGAAAAATATTGTAAAAGTACGAAGTTTGAAATAAAAAGTTAATGACATGTAACGGAAAAAAGTTTATTTAAATGTGCGCTAGCAGAGTGTTTTACGAGTGCTTTTAAAGGTTAACATTCAAACCTGTCAAAATATCTTTCGAAATCTATAACATGATTTAGAAATTTTATTACTTTCAGCACGAAATTTATTATGAAATATCAAAAAGGCGTCGCTTTAACAAAAACTTAAATTTAATTTGTGCAATGCTTCAACATTTCGCTGTATACAAGATTATATTGAAAAATATGTAATAAATTAAAATTATTATAGGACCAAACCGCAGTAATCACATTAAAATTCGTTGCGCTATACTCGTATAAAAATGTATGTTGATGTAATACATGTGAATTCATTTGTAAAGTTTATGCTCCATGATGAATTTAATGTACATGTACATAATACATAATATGTACGTATTTTTTTTTATTTAATTCCATATTGCACATAGTACACATTCATTTTCCACAGGATCTCATAATATATAGGTTAACAGAAGATTTTTTTTCTAAATTTTATTTTATAAAAGTTAAAGTTATTTTTTTTTCATGAAGTGCTAAGTTGCTCCTTCATAATATGCTGTTCTTCTTACTGCGAACATTTTAATAATGAAAATGAACAATTTTGTTTTAAATTTTTTCTGTTTTTAATTTCTTGTATAGAGTATCAACTCTGTACACGATTTCATAATATTTCAATGCCCTTATAATATTTGTAGTAAACACGTTAAATATTTATGTAAGTAGGATTATGGTGGCAGATAAAATTATATAATATTTTATTGAAAAATAAAAAAATAGTTTTTTTATAACTTTTTAATTCATTAGTTATTCCTAAGTGATGAAACATAATTAAAAGTGATGAAATAGTAAAAAAATAATCCTTAAAGGATTTAAAATATTTTTAATACATTTTGAGTGCAAATGAATTATTCCACTGGGTTATATAAAGTTTAATAACATTTCACATGCAATAACAACTATGACAAAAACAAAATAGTAATTAGAAATACTAAAAATTGTATAAATATGTGGGACACAATAATTCTTTTCCTCTTGGATTTTCAATGTGATTCAATCTTTATAATTTAATTATCAATAAAATTATTTATTATATTAAAAACAAATGTGTATATACATAAATTGGTCCATGGGTGTATTCGAATTGATTTGACGTAGAGTTGGAAATTAAATCTCAAAACTTCAGTGAGAATAATTAAAAAATTAACGTCAGCAGTTTTATGGATAATAAAATTTTTATATTCGAATATTAAGAAATATCGAGCTTTACAAAATCTTATAGAATTTCCGGAAATTATTTTCAAACACAATCAATATAAATGAAAATTCGTGTAGTTGGGAACCAAAGATCAAAATGTAATCAAATGTGAAAAGAGAAACGTAATATAATGCAGTTGACTATTATTTATTACTTAACAAAACTTTACATTTTAATAATCAAATATTCTAACGGATTGAAATACAAACATATCTAAAGTAGCACAACACCGAGTAAGAACTTACTGATGAAGAAAAATTGAAGAGTTTACAAGTCGATTCTATATTGATTTAGTCATAATGATTAATTACCTTTATTCTATTGTACGATCTTTTTAAAATTAGAATCAATTTGACCCATGCGATCCAAATTTATTTGACCGGAATTTCTTTTACAATACACAAATTGCTAAAATTATTTATGAAGTCGAAGCAGGTTCACTTTAAAACTTTTCTAGAAATAATTTCAGCAAATTACTGATGAGCTGCACAGTCGACACTATTGAAAGTTACCTGGAAAAAAAAAATGATTTTAAAATCCACAACACACTTACTTATTTAGAATAGTTATATAAAATTATGTAAGGTCAACATAATAATGCTAAAGAGTTGTCAATATTAAAGCGGCAAATTTTTAATAATTAAAAATTAAAGAACTTGATATACGAATATTGTAGATTTAAATCCTTAAATAGGGTACGAGTACCTTCAATGAAACAAATGGAAAAATTAAGGCAAAACAAACAGAATATTTTTAAATACGCATTTTATCAAAAACTTATAATTAAGTATACTTATTGTCCCGAAACTATAATATAAAAAATTTTATACTATCTAACTATGCTAGGATTGAAACAAATTTGTTGGACAACACAGTGCTTGGAATATTCATTTTAATTGAATACACTTGTAGTTTAAAAGATTCAAATTAATACTTGATTATGTTGCTACTGAAAAAACTTAGAAATTTAAATAAAAACGAAAAAAATAGAGGTGACCATGTCAACGATTTTTATCACACATAACATCCCTAATTTCTACACGAGATTTCTATATTATAGTTTCAATAACTTCTGAGATAATGCCAAATAACTTTTAGAGTTGTATGGCAGCTACCAAAAGCGCCAAGTAATTTCAATGACTTCTATTAAACACAATGGCCCTAATAATATATTCGTTTGTATCAAACGATTATATCAAATTTAAATAGGATTCTGGCATTTACGAGAATAAATCGTTTGTGAAATTTTGATGAATTAGTTTTTGAGTTATCATTAGGACGGATGGACGGACGGACATACGGGCAGACAAAGCTAAATCGACTCAAAATTCGACGCTAATCAAAAACAATACTTGCGTCATGAGCGTTACAAACGGTAAGACAAATTTAGTATACTCTTCGAACATACGTTCGTACGGATATAATGAGAATTTCAGCTCGAAATTATTTCCCATTTTTTCATTAGATACAAGTTTCTACAAACCAACACTATACTAACTAAGTCTCCTACAAAATAATTTGGTTTCCTTTATTCTTTAGAAAACATAAATTTTTTAGTAAATTCTGATGTTATCTGAAATCCATAGTCAAAAATGTAAAATCGGCCCGTGGTTAAGATCTAGTTTTAGAGACCTGACATACCCTTAAAGTTGACTAAACGGGGAATCATCCCACAAAGTAAATTCAAGTATAAATTTTCGTGAAAATCGGTTAAGTAGAATTTTAGTAAGAATAAAGTTGGGTCAAACCAATGGTTTGTATTGTAGCACTTTTCCCTTCAGCAAGTGAAAATTCTGCTTTTAAATACAGTCTATGTATACCTATCAAACTATTAAAATTATTTTCATTCATATACAAAACTATTTCTAGAATTGCATATATTTAGGATGACGCATATATGCAGTGTTTGAAATAAAGCAAAAATTAATATAAAAAGGGGTTAACATAATGCTCGATTTTAAGGTTTAATTATGTGAGTTAAGAAAAATAATTATATTTTTTAATTTCATGGAATTTACCGTTAGCTTTTTATGTTTATAGAAATTTGAAAAAGCTTGCGGTTTCGGAAATATAAGGTGTCAAAAATTCAAATTTTACAAATTTCAAGAGGCCATAACTTGAGAGGGGAAGGAGATGGAAAAAAAATTTCTTCCAACCAAATGAACTATTTGTTAATGTCTAAAAGCCCATAATTTCAAGCTTCTACAGGCTGGGGTCTAGAAAATAAACGACATCAAAAATTTGGAAAAAACGGACTTTAGATAACGGTAAATTTGAGCGGCCATTTTGTTTTTCTAAAGTTAACCTTTAGTATACCCCGCTAGGGGAAGTAAGCCACTGCCTTTCTGCGTTTGCAAAATTTGAAAAATCCTTATGGTTTCATTGCACTAAATAGTTAAAGAATGGCATTTTTAGGGTTTTGGGGGGGTATAACTTCTAAAGGGGGGGAGATAGGTAAAAATTTTGTTCCATGAAAATAAGTTTCTAGTAAAAATCTATGTACGTACAAAATTTCAGCTTTCTATCTTCAAGGGTGTAGAAGTTTTGTAAACAGACACACGGACGGACGGACGGACGGACGGACGGACGGACGGACAGAGTGAAACTAATAAGCACTTTTTTTTCAAAAATTTTTTGGAAAAGTGCTAAAAACGAACTTCTGCAGAAAATTCGACATGTGAAATTTGATGCCATCACGGATCCTCCCTTATATGCAATGCGAGTGTTAAATAGAAAAAGAATAAATCGAAGTAAATCAAAAATTTCTCCTCTAAACGAAACGGTACTGCGTATAGAATACTAAAAATGGTAAATCTATTATCTATTATTTTCTGTTTGGCAAAAATTATAAATAAATATGAGGCTTTTGCTTTAAATTCGCGGAAGATAAAAAGTAGGCACGTGTTCTTTTTAATTTTTTTCTTTTTATAAATTTGCTTAATAATTTTAACGTTCCTCCTAATTTCTTTCTACTTTTCTTAATAAATTTTATTTTTTTATTTCTACAATTTTTACAAAAACAATTTATCTATTGAAAATAAAATAATTTTTAGTTTAAGTATTTGGAATGAAAAAAGGAAGTCCCTTGGTATTGAAAAATAAAAATACTTTATTTTCAATAACCGACCGCATGTTTTCGGCGGAAATGTGCTCCATGGTAGGAAGCTTGAATGCACCACTTTTAGAGGGATGTCAGCTGTTGGTCCGTCTGTGTGTACACTCGTGTATTTCAGCTTCGGTTAAACCGATTTTCATTAAAAGTTATATCCTAATTTATTTTAGTTATGTCACGGATTGATTGCTTTTCAAATACTGAAATAAAAATACTGAATTGTGACAGTTTTACTGAAAGTTAAATACTGAAACTTTATAAGCTTTGATGTCTGACAATGTGTCATCAAGCTTTACTGGGTCTTTACATTCTGTCTGAATCATACGGTCCAAAGGCAATTTTTTTATGGTTTTACCTGTTACATCATGTTTGTAACACGGTCAAATAAATCAAAATTGATTATATAAATAAAATTTGATATTTGATCGTGTTTTCCCTACAAATAGAGAATTGAAGACCGCTGCTTACATGTTTAATTCTTAGGGGTTTAGCAAACCAATAAAATTAAATTGCCCTGTAAAGTTAGAGTAGGAACTGAAGAATAATAATCTAAAATTTTTTGATATTGTATTTGCTCTGTTTGACTGCAAATTTTGCAATAATTTTCTCACATCAAATTATTTTTCTATAATCCTTGTTAAATAATTGAATGTAATACAAAAAAGTACAATGCTAAGGACCTTATTTTTATTCCTGTTCAATAATATTGTTAGAATTCTAAATTACATACTTACTATTGTTGAAAAAATTTGCGAAATGGAATGTTTTTCAATTTTAAACCAAAATACTTGTTAAAAGGTTCTTAATAATTTTCAGAGCAAAATAAATGCTAATTTTTAAATACCTTATATTTGTGAGAGAAAACTAAGTAAAATTGCTCATGCTTAATAAAATTTCTAATTATTATATGTTATATGTATGTTATATTAGGTACGTTCTATGTTATATTGTGGTGTCAATGAAAAAATTATAAATAAGTATATTGCTATTATTCTTATCTAGCAATTTAAAAAATGTTAAACATAAACTAAAATTTTTACTAGAACAAAATTAAATTCTTAAGTTTGCCTTCCGAACAGAAGCATGCTTAATATTAATTATTATCTGCTTTTAAATGGCCATATTTGGCTATAAATATTAACGATGTCTCGAACGTAATTAAATATAATATTATTTAACTGTAAAAGAACAAGAACCACTGTTTTATTTTGTATATCATTAATTTTTATAATATCATTAGTTAAAAGGATACGTGATCAGACAACGTTAAGGAATTTTAATTAGTATAATAAAATCCACTACACGTTATCTAGGTTTGATAAAACGCTTTAACTTTTAATTGTAAATTTAAGAATTTTATTTTTTATTTGTCTGTAAAATATCGACTTTTTTTTTTGTTTTATATTTGAGAAGTCAAGAATTTTCAATATAACGTTGTGAAGAAAGGTTTTATACATTAAAAATATTATACATATGTATAATGTATGTATACAAGTATTAAAGAATTCAAAAATAGTTGAAACACTTCTTTTCAGTTTCAGGATTCGTTCTTAATTTTGAATTTTTAAAGAAATTCGATTATCCTATGTAGTAATTATATTACAAATATTTTCAATACGTTTGGTTACTTAACAATAATACGGCTATTTGCAATGTCACTGGATTTGCAATTTGTGTTGGTGTAGAGAAATTTTTAATGCATAACGCGTGTTTTGGAACTCTTACATATTGAGAAGCGTAGTACGACGAAGGAATAATTAGTTTTTATTAAGTTTCACAATATTTTAAAATTACAAATTATGTACTCGTATTTTAATTTTATTGTAGTAAAACAGAAATTAAACAATATCCAGCAACCACAGCTGCCAGGATAAATTATGCATAAATACAATCATCCTGACAGTATGTTGAAAAAGGTCATGTTGAATGAAGAATGTAATTTACTTTTTTAAAGTCGAAATTTATGAGTTGAAATAACAAAGATAACTAAGAGATCGAATGTTTGAGTTAAATTTCTGTTTTGCTTAATATAGGCTAAAAGTTTTGTTTAATATAGTGGGAAATCACTTCTTCACGGTAAGAGACTGTTTTTAGATAGATGTTAGTTTGTTTGCCACACGCCTGTGGGTCTGTCTGTCTTTTACTGGCTTAAGTAATCATGTTTTTCACTTTGGAAAATAATTAGTGAAGCATCGCCGTTATAGTTTCTAATTCATGCAATCTATTTAATTTTGAAAGCTTATAGGATAATTTCTGTGAACACAATTCAAAAGTTTTGTTTTAAATTTAAAATTATAGACTGCAATTTTATGATTTAGTTTTTT